CTCATCACTGTATTGCTTCACACAGACAGCAGACTTAGCCGCTCTCTGAAAAGCAATCCGCAGTCGGTCGGTCGGTTTTCATTGGGTGGTTGACGGGTCTTCAGGAGACGATACTGCCACCAATTTGTCTTTTCCATCCCAATAAGGACTTTGCATTATAATACAGTGTCGTAGCTGCATGCCAAGTGGTTGCGGCACAGTCCCATTAACTGCATTGTAATACCGCCCCGCAGCTGCATGCCAAGTGGTTGCGGCACAGTCCCATTAACTGCATTGTAATACCGCCCGCAGCTGCATGCCCAGTGGTTGCAGCATGGTCCCATTAACTGCATTGCAATACCGTGCCGCAGCTGCATGCCAAGTGGTTGCAGCATGGTCCCATTAACTGCATTGTAATACTGCACCGCAGCTGCATGCCAAGTGGTTGCAGCATGGTCCCATTAACTGCATTGTAATACTGCACCGCAGCTGCATGCCAAGTGGTTGCAGCATGGTCCCATTAACTGCATTGTAATACTGCACCGCAGCTGCATGCCAAGTGGTTGCAGCATGGTCCCATTAACTGCATTGTAATACTGCACCGCAGCTGCATGCCAAGTGGTTGCAGCATGGTCCCATTAACTGCATTGTAATACTGCACCGCAGCTGCATGCCAAGTGGTTGCAGCATGGTCCCATTAACTGCATTGTAATACTGCACCGCAGCTGCATGCCAAGTGGTTGCAGCATGGTCCCATTAACTGCATTGCATTGTTCAGCGAACACACTAACTGTCAGGGCGTTCGCCTGCCGAGCACTGCGCAAGGCCCCAGATAGCAAGAAATTGTGCTGCAAGTTTGAAAATGACTTGCTAAACTATTGCAGACTTCCCAAGCTTCACAATTTTGTTGCACAATTACAGCAAGTCTGCATTGCAAGTCTCCAGACCAGCGAGCTTGCAGAGCTCTTGCTAAGACCTGCAGGACTCTTGCTGTAGACTTGCCAAGCAAATTTGCTACAAATCCAAAAAGTGTCAACTAGAACTTGTGCTGCAAGTATTCTGCAAATCTAAAACTTGCCAGGAATATGTGCAGCAAGTTAACAAAATTACAATTTAACCCTGCCACAAGTTTGTGGCAAGTTATCCTTGCTATCTGGGGCACTGTGCCTTGTGAGCTCTGATTGGCTAAAGCCTTGCACCTGACCATAGGTCAGGTGCAAAACTTTGCCAAATCATGGCTCACCTGTTACAACTGTAAACAGTCACTGCTAGCTCAGCCCAATTGTTTTTTAAGTTGCCGACATCTGTCAAAATGCCATTCTGTTGCGGGTGATCGTCACAACAGATAGGACTGCGGTCGTCAGGTTTTTTATTATTATAGTAAAAAATAAAAACCCCAGTGGTGATTAAATACCACCAAAAGAAAGCTCTATCTGTCCCCAAAAAATGGTATGAAATTCATTTCAGTACAGCGTTGCATGACGGAATAAACATCAGTCAAAGTACCGGAGCGCTGAATACTGAAAAATGGTCTGGCCAGGAAGGGGGTGAAACACCATGGCCTTTAAGTGGTTAAATGATGTTTCTTAATCCGATCTGCGGCGGGTGTCCGATCCAGCGCTGACTCCTCTGGGCTTGCTGGCACTTCCTGTCCCATGGTGTCTGCATGTGGGTGCACGCTTCCATAGACTTACCTTGTTTCTCTCCTCGCGTCCCGGACGAAAATGTGATCTGCGCATGCGCCCGCCCCAAGATGCTTTGCGGCCGCCTGAGATTTTTCACATTTTCGGACAGAAGCCGATGCGGGTTTTATTTTTTTACACTTTTTGCATAAATCTACTGCTTGCTAGCAGTAAATATATGCAAAAAAACCCGGAGGCTTTAATTATCCTCAGGCCTTGTTCACACCAAGCACAGAGCAGGTGCAGAGCAGACCAGTTGCAGACCAGATCAAAACTGCGTCCAATGTATTCCAATTGTATTTTTTGCTCCAGTTCACATCGCAGGTTCAGAGCAGGTGAAAAAACTGCAGCAAGCCCTATTTTACCTGCTCTGGAACGCATGCACATGCATTAAAACGCAGGCAAATGCCTGGAACGCACTGAAAGCCCATGTTAAACTAAAATGTTAACCAAAAACGGCCCAGAACGCATCAAAAACGCATCAAAACACGGCAATAACGCGACACAACCCACTGCACTGCGTGTGCAGAAACCTGAGCGGATCTGCTCTGCATTTGGTGTGAACAAGGCCTGAGGGCCTGTTCACATGAGTTTCAGGTCTTGATCAGGTCCGGATCAGGTGCGGATCTGCAGACGCGGTGCTATGTGTTTTGCCGCGTTTTTGATGCGTTTTTGATGTGTTCCAGTTTTAAAAAAACACATTTTTTTTTGCTGGAGTGGGGCTGTCAGTAAGTTAGCTGCATGGCAGTGCATTTTTGACACGTTTTTGTGTTTCCGGACCGTTTTCTGACTGTACAAAATGTGACATGCAGTATTTTTTCTGTTGTAACCTGAACGGACTGCGCACGTTAGAACTGTAGCCCATAAAACACATAGGGATACATTGGGATGCATTTTTAGTGCAGGAGCATACGGATCAGGTCAGCACACAAAATGGACGTCGTGTGAACAGGCAAAGGGGAACCACACACACTTCTTTATTTTTATTTTTTTACATGGGGTCCCTCCTAAAATTCCTACCAGACCATAAGGGTCTGTTATGACTTTTGGGGGGAACCCCACGATTTTTTAAGAATAAAATGGGGTCCCTCCTAACATTCCTGGTCTGGTATTGTTTGGGAGGGGGGACCACACGCTTTTTTTAATGTAATTTTTTTCTTTACAAATGTCAGTTTTGCTGCAGCAGGTTCTATACATTGTACAGATTTGCCACTTTACAGGCAGTTTAAGGGGACCCCCCAGGCACGATATTTTAAGGAATTTTTCATTTTTATTGTTTCACTTCAAGCAATGTTAAAATCACTGCTCCTTTAAAATCTGTATTTTTTTTAAAGTGTTTTTTTCATTGATACATGTCCCCCAGGGCAGTACCCGAATCACCGTACACTTATTATGGCCAATAACTTGCATGTAAGGCTTCAAAATGGGGTCAATTGATTCTTAACGTTCTACCCACATAGACTTGCATTGAGCTTGAGTTCGAATTCAAACTTTTCCCATGTTCTAAATTTCGAATGCGAACCGAACACGGGGGTGTTCGGCTCATCACTAATTGTAAGCTCATCGAGCAGGGACTGATGTGAAATGTAAAGAGCTGTGTAAAATTACCTGAAGTATATAATGGCTGTAATAAATGCATTGCTCTATTTAACCCTTTCCCATCTGTCCTTTAAGAGATTGAAATGCTAGAGGTGTTTCCTGATCATGTGATCACTGTGATTGGATGTTATGTGATCGGGGGCCTCTCCTATCATCCCCTGATAATCAGTGTGTGGCTGGGAGCTAGGGTGCAATGCTAGGGTGCACACTTCCAGCACAAAACAGCGACGCCAGCTTTACAAAGGAAGGGGCATGCACACGGGTGTAAAGTACTCCCATCTTGTAGTGCCATTACTTGTTCCAATGTGCTTTGCGTCTGTTTCCCTGCTGCATGATGTGATGCAATCTCAATTTCTCAACACTACATATCCCATCAAGCATTGCTTCCAGAAAGCAATGATAATGTTACATTGTTTAGATGTTAAGTTGTAGTTTAGAGGGCAGGCTCTGCGAAAGTTGTGACACAAGGAAGTGCATACTCAGAGGGCTGAGTGAAATTGTGTCATTCTATGGGCATCTTCATTAACCACTTGCCGACGTTAGGACGTTCCATGCCGTCCTGGAAAGCATGGGCTTTAAAGACGTCAGGACAGCATGACACATACTAATTTATAAGCCACCCCCCCCCTCCTACCCTGCATTATACCTACCGGCAGGATCCGATGTGTGGACTTGGCTGGCTACTCAGGCAGTCTTCAATTCGGCTCACATGATCGCAGTGACAAGTGGGAAGGGAGGGCAGAGGGAGTTGAGCTGCTGTGTCACTGCTGAAAGAGGAGAACACGTGGGTCTGGGATGCCTAGTCACCACTGGCAGGGGATAGCAGCAGAAGCTTAGTTTCTGTATGACTTTACCCCAAAGTAATAATAATTATTATTTTATTTTGTTAAAAAAATTAACCCCTTCAGCGCTGGCATTGTAGAATACAATTATGGGTGTTTTATTGCAGTAAAACGTATCAGTATTATGATATTCCCAATAAAATGTGTGTGTGCATGTTTGGGAATAAAAAAAAAAAAATATCTTAAAGTGACATTAAAGTCAAAAGTTTTTTCCCCTCCCCCCAATGTCATGTAAATTTATCATGTAAATGGGTTTATGTATGCTAAATAAATCTTTTCTATTCCTCCATATTGCTCTATATTGATTATGTTCCTGGTAATATAGAGCAAAACTCCCTTTGCCATGGATTGCCGTATATATGATGCAGTGTAATATTGTATTCATGTGTGATACAGGACTGTAAAGTGATTAGAATAATTATTGTATGGAATAAACTCCCTACTGATAACTCTGGCCTGCATTACATCATCGTTTTTTAAAGGACTGCACAAACTGTTAGAGCTAGATAAAGCCTGTTTAATAATAATAATAACAAAAATAATAATAACAACAATAATAATAATAACAACATTATTAACAACAACAACAACAACAATAACAACAACAATAATAACAAAAATAATAATAGTAATAATAATAATCCCGGATTGTCTGCTTCCAGACCAATGCTGGTGACGTCACTCAGGGGAATCCTAAACGCAGGGCAGCAGGCCAGTGTCTTCTGTGGCGTTCTGATTGGCTGCTGCTTTCTCTATGCACCGCCTCCAGAGGGCGGAGTTCGGTTGTCACTCTGACCGGCCTTTAAATTGTGAATGATCGGTCTGCTCGGCTCTTCCTTGTCATGTCAATTCGGTGACCGGTGGCTCCTGTCTGCTCCATCTCCCGTCTACAGCCACCATGTTCGACCGGGAGCGGGGCTGGAACCTGTCCTTCGCCGGCTGCGGCTTCCTCGGGGTTTACCATGTGGGGGTGTCCAGTCCTATAATGGACAGTGCAGTGTGCCCCCTCCTGTAAAGTTCCTACAGAGAGGAAATCTTTACTGGTATACAGCTAGCTCCCCCATCTGTGTAATGGAGAGTGTCCTTACTGTATACGGTACTAGAGGTGCCAAACAGACCGTGCTCCCCTCGGTGTAATTGAGAGTACCCCTATATACTAGATGTGCCATACAGATGATGATCTCTCCTGTATAATGGACAAACCCCTTCATTGTCCTAGAAGTGCTGTACAGACAGTGCCTCTTCCTATATATTAGAGGTGGCATACAGACAGTGCCCCCCACCTTCATACTAGAGGTGGCATACAGACAGTGCCCTGTTCTGTATATTAGAGGTGGCATACAAAAAGCACTCTTGTCCATATTGACGGTGCCCCCCTCCTGTATGCTAGAGGTGCCACGCAGACAGTGCCCCCTCCTGTGTACTAGCGGTGCTACTTGCCGAAATTGCCAGTACCGGATTGATTGGTTAGCAGTCAGTCAGCACAGTTTGCCACAATCCTCTTCCCTTGCAGACAATTTTAGTGACCACATTAGCACTGAAATCCAAGTAACAATTGGAGCCTCCCATAATACTCTGGGAGTGGTGGAAACCAATGTACTAGTAATACCTGATGTATAACCCATGCCACCCATAAGCTCCTAGAAACTGAAAATTGTCCCTGAAAAGGATTGGGAAAATGTAATCCCCCCCAATGCCCTTTCCAACCGCGTCCATTTGTATGTAATTCGGCACTGGGAAACCAAGTCATAATTGGATTGGTCGCTGAATGTCTTGTCTGGAAGTTCAGGAACTAAGAGCTGTAAAGGATTGAACTGTCATGACATTCATTACCCCGTCCATGGTAACTGTTTACATTTCACTTCTATAGCCACTGTGTGTACAATGGAAAGATTTCACGTTCAGTCCAAGAAAATCTAATGTGTAGTTCACTGGGAAGTATCCGAGACCTGTCCATAGATCTTGGTGATCTGATCTACAGGCTGAGCATTGACTCCATCAAACGAGATTCCTGGTCTATGTTCAGTCACTGCCCGACTTCCAGAACAATTACTAATACTATTTGTAATTCTTAATTGTACATTCTCCAGTGAGTCACACGACAAAATTATGCTGGACATGTAGTCCTACTTGTAAGAGCAGTGTGACTGTGTGCGTTTGTTATGTACAGTATCTCACAGAAGTGAGTTCACCCCTCACGTGTGCAAATATTTTATTATATCATTTCATGTGACAATACCGAAGAAATGACACTTAGAAAGGCATACATTTATTTTTATACTTTGCTTGGTAAACTTCACTCCACCCAAAAGGGAGGAATTTCTATTTTGGATTTTTGGGATGGATATTTGCAGTCTGACTGCAATCAGCTAATCTATATCGTGGGAACTGCAAAGGGAAAATCTTTACACATTTCCTTTTCCACCTACAGTGAATCTACAGTTTAGTACATAATAAAATACTATATATTACACATGCTTTTGTGGTTTCTTTTTTTTCCCCAGGAAGGTGCACATTCCCTATGGTTTTAGCATTCTCATTCCCTCTTGGAGATCAATGAAGTGTGGACTCTTTCAATGAACACATGTTAATTCTTTTGGGGCTAGAAAGCTGTTTTTGAGGAATGTGTCAAGTTGCAGAGCTGGCCTGTGATTGGCTGTGGATGGTGAGCTGACTTGTGGACGTGTAGTCCACCCTCCCCCCTCGGTTGGAGGTTACAGCTGGTCAGCTAGTCCTGGGCTGTTACTATAGGAATGACACAGATTATAGAGAACAAAGGTCGCTGGGTCACTCCAGTTCAGCAGACTGTGCCTATTGCAGATATTGTATACGTCCTAACTTTATATTTACAAACACAAATCCCCCTGAGTGCAAACTGAGCAAAGATCAAGTTTAAACAATGCCATTAATATGATATAATAAACTGCAAAGGTGTCAGTGTTGTACAAATAAAAGGGATGCAACACTGATGATGTGAAATATTAATTGCATATAAATAGATCCTGTATGCTGGGGGAATAGAAGTAATCAAAACATTTGTATTGTAACTGTAATGTCTTCCTTACTTTGTAAAGCGCTGCACAAACTGTTGGCAATATATAAATCCTGTATTATAATAGTAGTAATTATATTTTATTATTATCAGAGCAGCCGATAGGATAGTCAGACTGCAAATATCTATCCAAAATAGAAATTATTACTTTTGGATGGAGTGAAGTATAGAATACAAAGTATAAAAATAAATGTGCGCATTCATTCACCCTCCCTCTGTGGTATAGGGGGCTCAATTGTTACCCGTGACATCACACTGGCCCTCGTATAATATCTTGAGCAGATGGTCGGAGAATGAGGATGTGATGTCGCTGTGGCTGAAGACTGGAGGCGTGCTGCAGGAGACAGACTAGGAACACGTTACTTGAGACTTCTAGAGATCACTGCTAGTAAAGGTGGCCATACACTTTACAACCATCGCAAGACCTTAGTCTTGTGATGGTTGTAAAGTAATTAAAAAAACGTACAATCTGCCCATCTTGGACAGGCAGATCGTACTTCCGATGACCACAATGCTGAACGGGCAGTGTGCGCGTGCGCACACCGGCCCTTTCGGCATTTGTCTCCCGAGCATCATTCTAACCAGCCGAAAATCATAAGATTTTCGGCTGGTTTTCTATCATGCTCCTTAGACAAAAGACAGTAGAAACGGTCGCACGTCTTCATGCACACTGCACGATTCTCGTACGATCGCGGGATTTCCCGTGATTCCCGTATGAGAATCGTGCAGTGTATGCGCACCTTTAGGCTCCTTTACAAGCCATTTCCTCTACTGGTTGCCAGGGTCTGGGGGCCGCACGAGAACTAAATGGCCACGGGTTGGGCACCAGGACTTTAGACATTTGGCAAAGTAAGATAGTGAGCCTATCACTCCGTTCATTTATATACCTTTCTACCCCATTTGTCGGCACACATTAAAACCTTGTAAGTTAAAGCTATCCTTGTCTCAGAGAATTGTGTGCTGCCCTCGCTTACCTCCTTTTAAAAACACCAGCGGTCTGATTGGCTCACTTGCCTCGAACAAGCATGCAGCAAGTGCGGTCAGTATACAATCTGGACACGTGGGCTGCATGCTGGTCCTGGGTTAGAAACTTGTAGTATTGGAGCCATTGGACTAATGTAACAACTGGGCATTCTCAGGAGAAGTCTGCAATGGTAGCCTATGGATTTCTCTTAAAGCAGAGCTCTGGGCTAAGCAATAATTGTCTAAATACAAGATTCATGTGTGCTCTTGGCTGAATCTGGGTCTGCTTTGTGTATGTCTTCCAGCACTGTGCAGTAATCCAGTGTGAAACTTTGCCTCTGTGCTGCAGCTTCCTGTAATAAAGACAGGTCCCTGCTGCTCTCACTACTTGTGCAGGGTGACTGGTCTTGTATCCCCCCCCTCCTGTAGTTTTTTGCAGGCAGCCTGTAGTGGGTGGAGCTTTTGGGTCGCTTTCACAGCTCTGTTCTCTGCACTGGATGTGTTCAGCGAGTGTATATATATTTCCCTATTCATCTTCCAGGGTAGCACAGGAGACAGTATCCACCCACCTAAAACAGGAAACGCACCATCCACAAGTGAAATAAAAGGGGCACCTCAGTTTATTGTGTTTCCTTCGGCCTAACAGGAAGATCGTAACCGTTTTTTATTTTTTTCCGTAGGCCTGTGTGCTAGCCACTCGGCCACTGCAGGGGTTACGTTTTATTGTGCCTGGAGTTCCTCTTTAAGCTTTAGGTTTCTATGAGCAGTGATATAAATGACATGAGAAGTGATTGGAGCTCTGGAGAGGCTGTTATGATCATGCTATACTTTGCCCTCAGATTAGGGGCAGTTAGAACACTGATAATGATCATGTCGTTGTTTGTTTGGCTTCTCTCCAGAGATTTCCAAATGTGAACTTCGTTGCACAGATCATCCTCCAGTTGTGCTGGTAGAGTGGCGTCCTCGGTCACTGTGAGCGATGAGTGAAATGAGGACAGTGACCTGATCTGAGATGTCATAAAGCCATTGCATGTGTCTGTAGAAGCTTCCATGCACTGTGTAGTTATTGATCAGAGAATGCAGCTTCAGCAACATGCAAAGAGGTATAAACTGAAACCTTTCTGGCTGAGCTGTTTGGAAATTTGCTTCATATCTGTTGGGCTGTTAACCACTTGCTGTCCAGAGCATTTTCTTACTATTTGCGCACACGTGATAAAATATACATTTTTGGCTAGAAAACAGCTTCAGACCCCTTTTTTCAGACCCCAGAACATAGACAGATCTATGTTCTGAAAGCCGAGGCCCTGTAGAATATAAAAATGTTAGTTGCAATTTTTTATGTTGCACGGTATTTGCGCAAATGTTTATCAAATCAGTATTTTTAGGATAAAATAAACTAAATTAGAATTTAGTGCACAGAAACATAATATAATACCCAATTATTTTTTTTTGATAAAAGACTGGGTCACATCGGGTAAATAGATACCAAACATGCCAAGCCTTAAAATTGCATTTGCCCGTGAAGCCGCCAAAAAATTCAATACCCAAAATTTCCCATAGGGAACACTTTAAACGCCTCTACTGCTCATCAGTTTAGTGCTAACGGTGATTGACAGCGCTAGAATTATTGCTCTCACTCCTATGTTCACGGCAATATGTAACATGTGTAGCGCAATCTGCGTTTTTGCACGTAGATGCACCGACGCGTGTGTATGTGGGGGGCAGGGGACTTTAAATTTTTTTGCATTTTAAAAAAATCTTTGTTATATGTTTTACTTTTTTTTTATTTTTAAACACTTTTTTTTACCCTAACCTTATTGCTATCACATAGGGGGATAACAAGCCCCCTATGTAATAGCAGTGTGTGACAGGTCCTCTTTATGGAGTCATCAGGGGTCTTTCAGACCCCTAATGTTACCTAGGGACCCCAAAGAAGCTGAGGAAGCAGAGATTTGTTTCCCCAGCTTCATCTCCTGG